AATACAGAAAAATGTTTGAAGAGATTTCTTTTTCTTCATCATACTTACCTGTTTCTATGGAGAGAACCTTAATAGAAACAGATTATATATCATAATATGGCAATAGATGGCAGTATGTTATATCTGAATAATTTGACAGAATGTTGAATATCAACGAAAATTGTGAAGTAATCATTATTACTATAATTTTATTGGGCACGTTTCTCAACACAAGAAATAGGAGAGTACGAAATCATAATCTAAACGATGAACATCAATCGATTCATCGTCATTTTACTAATACATTGTCGCCCTCAGCACTCAAAAGTCTCAATAAACGATTCTTATTTTCATTTACTTGTAATTGATGATGAACACTAATTCATTTATTAAATTAGAATATGTATATACTGAATTTTTTAGCTTTTCGTTAATCATACAATATCTTGTTCAACAACAAGAACGTTATTCTTCATTTACTCGGATTCTTTTCCTTGTTAAGATATATCTTATCTAGTACTACTACTATATCAGTTAATCTTTTTTCATTATATAGAATACTCTCATCGGAAACGAGAAACCTGATCATGACTATGAAGATCATCTATACACATATTTACGTATTTGTATTATCTTATCAGTTGGCTTAACTCAGTACTTTTTAATTAGTCTTTTTACAACTCTAGTACGCTTTTAATATGAGAATGAATCAGTTTATTAAATGTTTTTCTTGTTGTAAGAACTGGATCAAGAGGGAGAACTAGTCTCCCTAAGTAGTTTCCGTTAATTTAAAAATAATGGATCAAAATAAAATAATTACGATTTTATCTTTAAACAATAATATTACCTGAACATATGTCTACCTTTCTGAGTCACTATCTACTGTAAAAAGATTGGTATTTAACTCTTCTTCTTGTATTTATATTGAAGTACTAGAAAAATAAAGTCCACAAAATAATCGTGTTTTTTCAAGGCTTCTTCCAAATAAACTAAACTATGCATTGAAAACTTAAAAAGGCATAATATAAATGCGATCTCGATATTTTCATCTCTATTTTGTGACTTGTCATTCTTTAGATTATCGTGACATGAAATGACGAATTTGATATACATGTTGAGAAAGTATAATAAAATATTGCGTATCGTACTTCATTAAAAACACTGGATCAAAGGACAAGCAGAATTCGCATATACAATTTAGTAGAATGACTTTGTAGAGCATGACCTTTAGTTTATGAATTATGATATAAGAAAAAATATACATTTTAATGATTCGCTCATTTTTTAAATTAATTATGTCACGCTACAATTTAGTCTATTACATTGTAGGCAAATCTGAACGTCATGTTATTATACTAGTTATTTTTAAGAATAACTATAGATTCACTAATACTTATTTGTCTGAATTAATCAAAGACATATATTTCATTTACACAATTTTAAATAACCATTCATGTCAACGACTATTTAGTCTGAAGATTGTCGATCATAAATTACATCATTTGACCTCTAAGCTCTTCGCCGGTAAAAAGTACAAAAAACAAGGTCACTAAGATAATAAAAAAAAATATCATGAAAAAAAAACACTTTCCGCGTTAACTAAGTGGTTTATATTTAACAACAGCTTGTTTGATATGAATCAACTCAACATAAATCATGCACGGAAGTTCATTGTTATTTAATCCTGACTTGAGACCTGATTAGTCATTTTGTATATCATATTTTTTCATATTTATCTAGATTTTATTCTATGTCTGCTTCAATGCGTGAAAGACATATGATTATTTGTCTGACTTTCATCGATGATAGGCGCGTGATTGAAGGTACTCGATTTTTCATTTATTCGACTTTTTCAATTCTACCCCTGCATAGGTTATTAGACTCGTTGATAACAGAACCACGCGTTAGTGTTAAGTACATACAGCTGACTTCCCCTCTGTGTTCTTTTTTCAAATATAAAAGGAAACATTTTTCCATTATTTTGTTATATCAATCTCAACATACAAGAAAAACTACAATTATGTTAATAGAAAAAGCTAATCATGCTCAAACACAAGTACAACTTGTACCATATTGTGGAATGGTCAATCCTGAACATATGAATCAAATGAATTGTGTACCTATGGTTATGATGGATGATGATGATGATAAAAATCTTGAGATAAGTTATTTAGAAAAATTATTTCTCGAAGATTTTCTTCGAAAATCAAATGAATTTCGTCAAACTGAACAAATTGATTCATTACCTATTGAAATTCGTCTTGGAACAGTTTATACATATCAAAATCGTCGTCAACAAAATCAATATCCTGATAGTTTATATTGTCAAAATTTAAGTGTTGATTCATTACGTAATGAAGAACGACGTGCTCGTGATGATAAACATTTTTTAATCACATTTAATAAAAATAAAGGTATTAATGATATTGATCAGTTTGAACATGAATTAACTTGTACAGGTTTTCGTGAAACACATAATCAACAATTAACCTATCGTTTATATTTATGTTATGAAAAAAAAACGTTTAATACTTGAATTAAAACGTGAATTAAATGATCCAAGATATTTTTCTGTTAAACGTCTATTAAGATATTCAACAAAATTTACACATATTGATGTTGTTAAATCAAAATATACTTCAAATTTTCCTAAAACATTTGATGATATATATGATATACGTACATCAATTGGTAAAGCATTAGATGAAGAAGAATTACATATCAATGATGGTTATTGTGATTTTCTTCATATAAAAGATCTTGAAAATTGTGTGTTTGAAACAATATCATGTAATGGACAATTTATTTACCATTTTAATCGACATTTAGTACCATATTTTGATTTTTTTCAAATAAAACAAACACGAACATTTGATTATTCATGTATGGATAGTCGATTTTTTTGGTGTAAGAATTCTTATTGAACAACAAACAGGTTATGATTTAAATTCAAGTGCTAAAACAACCACACCCTGTTTACAAACAAATAATGTTATTCTAGCTAAATTACTTTCAAATACTTTTACGGAAGAAGAAGCAAAACGAATTTGGACAATAGGTGCATGGCTATCAGATTTATCAACAAGATGTACAAATCGATTTTTACCTGCAAATAAAATATCCTGTCGACGACCTGGACGTACTACAACACATCGACGTGCCGTCAGATAAACTACACCAACTGCACATAAACTCTTAGGTGTTTTTCAACCTCTTTTTTTTTGTCTATTTTCATGAAAATCATTCGATATTGAAATAGTCTATAAAATTACATTAAATAAAATAATATTTCAATAAACATTTTTTTTATTAAAATTTTCTTTGAGTTGTTTTTAACATTACAGATGATCACACGTTTCTTTTGGACGAAAAGCATAATAGGAATAAGATAGAAATAAAATCAGCCAATATACAAATGAATAAAAATGCACACATACACACACACAGATTATTTCTTTGCTAGTTTTGATTTTAGACGAGATCATATTAACATGATTTATTTATAATATAAATGTTTTGTTGTTTTTGTTCTTCTACGAAGGATTAAATTAGTTTTTTGAACAATGTTCACTGTTATGTACTGTGTGCGAAACTTCTCTAAGCGAGAAAAAAAAGAAGAAAGTAGTAAAAAGATAAGAGACAAAATACACACACACACACGAACATTTTTAAATAGTAAAACTAGTAGAAACAAGCGCACAAAAGAAAATTTAGAATTGTAACAAACGTGGACAAGAAAAGAGTAGTTTTTTATTCATTCTCATTTTTGTTATTTTTGTATCAATTTTATAAACGATCGATTAAATCATGTTTTTGTTTCATAGATAATTGTTGATCTTGGCGTGAATCACGTTTACGAGCATGTTGAGCTTTTAATTTTTCTCGATATTCTGCAGCTGACATTTCTATAAACAAAAACGTTTTTAAAAAATAGTCAAAGGAAATTCTTTTTTCTTACTGATTTCAAGTGTTCCTCCTTCTGAACCATTAGCTGATGATGATGAATGAGATAGACTTTGATGAGAACCATCCGTACCCGTTGATTTCAGAGGTGAATCTTTTGTAGAAAGTTTTGGTGATGAATTACCAACGGACGTAAATTCTTTACGTTTCTCTTTGTCAGGCAATCGAGGAGATGATTGAAGATAATTTTCATGATCATCATCTTGATCGGATGTTCTTGATATTGTAGGTGAACCATCAGTCTGAAGAACACAAAAAAAAAATAACAATCATAGTTTCTACTAAATTTAATGTAGTTGAAATAAGATATAGATAATAATAGAAAAATCGATATTTTTATCCTTATCAAAAAAGACTATTACGAACAATACATTAGATCGAATTGCTATGATTTCTCTTGAGAGTTATGATAAAGATTCATTTATTTTACTACTTTTTATTTATTCTATACAGTTTTCTTTTATTCTCGATAGTAATGACAATACGTCGGCTTCTATGGATAATTGAATGATATATTATTATCCCCAAGATATTCCTTTTTATATAACACTGCCAAGATAAATCATGAAATGGTAGTTTATATGATAGATCATTTATCTTATCAGAGTGTACTGAAAATATTCAAGTTCTAAACAAATTGGACCGAAATTACCTACAGTCAATTAATGAAGAATAGCTTATAGAAAGAAAAACGATTCTCAATAGTACTATGATAATAAATATTCATCTTAAAATACAATAGAATTTTGAAATTTAAGTTGCTTTTAGATAAAAACAACATATATTGTATAAGTGTTGCTCGAAAGCATCAAAACAATTGATTAAAAAATAGAGTTATTTTCTTACTAATATGTCGAAACGTATTCTTTTTCAATAATCGAACATTACAAATTCATTTTTGAATGTCAATAGTAAAGAAAATTCAATCGATGAAAGCAATCAAATCAATTACATTTTATTGTCTTCAAAGCTAATATGGCTTCCAAACATAAATATATTTTCTTTGATTTAAAATAAAAAGAAATCGAACAATTGAATATTAAAAGTCTATCAAGACAAAGGTAAATAATAGATAATGTCAAGAAAATTTGACATGTTAGTCAAATAAGTATCAATGATATATATTTATTTCAAGAAAAAAAAATCAAATATATTCTTACCTTAGTTGTATGTGTGACTGTTGGACCGGTAAAATCAGTAACATGTTTATATTCACGAACAGGTTCATTTTTCATTGTTCTTGGTGATGTTTGTCGGATAATAGGTGAATCTGTCTTGCCAATACTTTTTTCAGATGATTGAGGTGATTGATCACCATATTCTAATGAAAACGAAATCAAAATAAATATTTATTTTGTTATTAATCAAACCTTTTCCATCTCGAATTTCTGTTTCAAGTTTTTCAACATTTGAATCTGAACTACGAACAATAATTGATTTATTTTTATAATAAGCATCTGTATCAGGATCAACAACAAGTAGAATAACTTCTTCAGCATATTTTGTTCCATTTCTTGTAACACCTTCTTTTATTCTTGATACAACTTGTTTATGATTTTCATTTCCAATAGGAACAAAATTAACTTCAATTATACGATCATATTCATGTAAACCAGCTGATTCTGCTGGTGAATCTGGATCAACTTTACCAATATATTGTCCTGGTTTAGATTTTTCACAATGTAAATTAAAACCATAACCAACAAAATTTGGCCATCGTCGAAGATGACATAAACGTGGTCTTGGTTCATTTTTATGTTCACCGTTGGTTGTCATTGATAAAAGAAATTTCTTATCGTATGAAAATCTATAAAATAAATCAGATAGACATTGAAATTTGAGAGGTAATAACTCATATGGATTAGATTCGAACAGTTGCGCGTTGTCAGTAGTAGAAGAAGAAGAAGAAGAAAAAAAATCAGTAAATGAACATGAATAAAAAAGAAATAGGTGTACTTGACGATTCAAAGATCGATCCAGATACAAATATGTGCATGTACGGATGCGGAGGCTTTGATCAAAGCAAATAAAGCATAAGAACGATCGCTCTCCTTCACTATACAACATTGATCATCGACGACGACGATGACGACGACAAAGGATCTGATTTTATTCTTGTTTCGTTTCTCGCTCTTTCAATACTATTTGGTTTATTCTCTTCTACTTACTTTCTCTCTCTTTCTATTTTTATATAGAGATGAGAAATATTTTAGTATATACATCAGAATTATGTTTTGTTTCTTCTTCTTATAAATAAACAAAATCATATTTTTGATAAAGAAAAAAGAAAAATTTAGTGAAAGTAAATGAAGTGAAAATACTTTACTTTTTGCGTATTAGACAAGCTACTGATGATTAAAATGAATGTCTCTCGTGAACGATTACAATGCAAATATGTTCAATCGTCTATGTTGATGTTGGCACCTCCTTCTTCTTCTTTTTCTCCTCTTCTCTCCTCCTTCTACTTTATCAAGTGACGAACGCGAGAGCCCGTCCGAACAACATTGAAAAAAAAAAACGAGAACAGCACAGCTATATAAAATGTCTGTATCGTTCATATACTTCTAGACATAGATAGATGAACGACGAATGAACAAAAGAAGAAGATGATGAAGAATGGCTGTTCTCACCTTTAGGATATATACATATATATATATATATACCAACACAATTTTGTATGCTATCGACGCGTCGGCTTGTCTTTTCATTTACTCAATCTGAGCATCATTGAGAAAGATATTGAAGGATGAAAGTAAAAGCGAAACAACTAATAAAATACAGCTTGTTTTATATTGGCATGTTGTATATGTGTTGTTTTT